TCCTCTGCCACATCTCCCTGGGCGGGAAGCGCTGCCGGCCCGCGCTGCACCCGGCAGCAAGGCTGGAGACGGAGTGCAGCTCACGAGGAGCCGCGGAGCAGGAACGAGAAACCTGCCGCTCGGAAAGGTCACAAAGGCACCGGCTGCTGCCCGGGCTGCTGCACCTGAGCCGCGGTGGTTGCTTGAGCTTTACTTTTGTAGCCAAACTCCAAACAGCCTCTTGGCCAGTGTCGGCAAGGTTTGCAAATCAAAACCAAATCTAAGCGCAGCACTGCGCTCGAGCGAGCTCTGCTAATCTATGGCGAGCGTCTGTTTCCTGCGCAGAGCTGCTGCCTGAGCTTTCCTTAGTGTGTGTACAGCACTGCCTGCTGAAAGACACTTTTTAGGCAGGAATTGGTTAAAAAATATGTGGTAGCCCCTGTCTGACCTCGTTGTTTTGGGGATTATTAGCTACCTACTGGGGGTTTGGAAAGTATCTGTTTGGAGTCATGCAGGTTACAGGAAAGAGTCTATTGTTTTTGAGTTAACATCTAGAATGGAGTGGTCTTGTGTCCTTTCTGGATGTCACATGGATTTCTGTGATCAGGCAACAAATTTAATCTGTCAACAGTAATCATAATAAATGATAAAATATGACTTTTCTTTCATCGAGGAGTAAAGTGCAAGCAGCACTTGCAGCATGTGAGTGGAGTGTGTTATGTAGCAAATAGGTTAAAACATATTTAAACAGTTACAACCCTGAATAGTGCAGCTCAGCTGCTTGCTTAGGAGCATCTCCTTAGGAGGCTGGGGGCTGGTCTTCCCCCAGCAAGTCAGAGACTGCCTTGCCCTTTCCTCACAGCAAGGGAACTGCCGTAGAGGGGAACTGGCCCCCAGCTCTCAAGTCTACTTTTTTTCCACTCCCTTTGGCCTCCACACATTGTACAGCCTCCCTTTTCTCTGCGTGGGAGAGCACAAACTGCTGCTGGAGGCCGGAGGAGATATTGATATTCATCTGTTCTTTTCTCACCCTCCTTTCCCTGCCATGGCCACAGGGGCATTAGGAACGTGCAGCTCCTTCAGGGAGCCCCTCTCCTCGGGGCCACGGTGAGCAGACTGCGGAGGAATCGATGAGGCCACGAACGCCGGACGCTGCTGTCACCCAGGCACTTGGGAAGGCCCGGCCTGGCGGCTCCCCGGAAGAAATCCCAGTGGAATGTAGAAGGAAGGACTGCCCGGAGCCTGCTGCAGTGGGAGGAGGGTTCTGCTAGGTGTCCCTGTAAGCGTGGGAGCACTAGCTGCCCTGTCTCCTTCTCTGGAGCTGGGGCATGTGAGGGCTTAGCGCAAAGTCTGTCTTTTCACCAGTTTCTGATGAAAAGTGGAGTGGTATAAGATTATTTTCTGTGAGCTCTGTTTTAAGCAGCGATATTTGCTTCTTTGGTTCCAGCTTTGATTTACTGCTGCATATATATGCAGAAATACTGATGACACTGCATTTCAGAAACAGAATGTATTTATTTGTCTATTCATTTCTAAGTCCTTACTGGCATGGAAACTCAAGCTCCCAGTAGTGATTGATAACACCTGATTACAAGCCCAACAGCTGTTAGTTTCGTTTTGAGGGCTACAGAGGCCAGGAAAGGCCAGGAAAAGCCTCTGAGAGGCTGCCCATAGCGTCGCTGCGAGGGGGGAAGGCTTTCCCTCGCTAACGCCTGCAGAATCCTTCCACTCTCAGCAGGACACAGGCACTGAGGTGTCTGTGCACCCCGTGAGGGGAACGTATCTGCCAACGGCTGCTCCTCCTGCACAAGCTCCCTGATACCGACATTGCCCGGGTAGAAGCAGTGACAGCTTGACGTTGTGCCCGGACCTTCCTGATGCTGTCCAAATCAGTGCGTGTCTCTCAGCAGCCACAGGTTTTGTTCTTTGCCCCAGCTTCCCCAAGTCCTGATCGGAAGCGGTTACTAGTTCACTTTTCCTAATCCAGGACTCTGGGAGACTCGTCTCCTGACTCAGGAGCTCCCACTCCTGCTGCAGTCCATGGGCCCTGCATTGGGAGCACAGTAGAAGAGGCCCCTCTGTGACTGCTGTCTGTGTGAGCAAAGGTGGGCAACACCAGCTGCTCTGCAGGTGGATGAGCTGCTGCGTTCCCAGCGTTCACATGGTTCCAAGTGGACCGTGGCTATGAGAAACACAGAATTTGGCAGGTCTGGGGCCAGTGCAAGTAGCATCTTGTCTGAGGTGGCAGAGCTCACAAAAGCTGTAGCTTTGGAGGGATGTGGCGAGGCTTTATCCAGAGGATAACGTGCATATTGCTGACAGTGACGGGGATTTTTATGGAGCTGCTTGTTATATTTTGGAAGAATGTTGCTAGTAAGAGTCAAATGCAGTGAGGTCAGTACAAGGGGAAGAAAACCTCCCACTCGGACCAAAGCAGGGGAAGGGAAACATTACCATGCGTGGGGCTTATTCACTTCAGAACAGGTCATGTAGTTTCTCTAGCTGTTTAGCAGCGTATTATGGTGGTTGGACTTTCCATCTCAATTGCTACACTATTTAGGAATCTTTAAGATGTAAGTGCTTCAGTGAAATGGGCATGGAGTGGCGAGGAGCCTCTGCATTGGCGACAGGCAAAAAGACAGTCTCAGCCTTTTTTTTGCTTTAGCTGACCATTGGGTTGTTTTGGAAACCATTTCGGTTGTGGTTTGCTGTAAGTTGGCTATTAAAATAGGTCCACTCTTGTGGCATGAGCTAATGTGAGCCCGTAGCCTGACACAGGAAATGAGTGGACTTGTTTTTCTGCAGTTCTCCCCCTCCTGGATCCCACCTCGCAAACATCTACTCAATTTTGGTTCATTTATGAGTGTACCTTTTTGAAGCTAATCTGTCTTTGTGTGTTGTACTTCTCCCTTCCTTTCCCTTCCTCCCCCTGCCGTAGACATTAAGTGCTGATTTTTGCTTTGCCGGAGCTGTATGGACATGAATGCTAGCAGGGCAATAGAGAGTTAAAAAAAAATCCATTAATTAAAAATATTTACATTGGAAGCTGCAAAACATTTACTCTTTGAGTAAAACAAACTTCCCCATTGTTCTTGTCCGATTGCTGCAGTTTCTCTGAAAACAGCCCAGGAAGAGGTTGTGCTCTGAGGAATTTTACTGGGCTGGCAGGGGAATAGGCGTGTGGGAGAGCTCGACTGCTGCCTTGGGCAGGGCTTCCATTCAGCGCCTCTCGCTCGCTCTCAAATCTTTCTGTCACGTGGTCGGAAGATCTCGTCCTCGTATGGAAGAGCAGGATGGAGTAAGAAGGTCTTTCTGGTAATGCAAAAAGAAAAAAAAAAAAAAGATCCACGGGTTTACAAGGGAAGGCGTACCTGAATGAAACAAACTGCAACTAAAAAGAGGAAATAACAAGAGTGAGTAAATTGTGTCAGTGGAAGATGAGGAAATGGCATTTGCTATGTGAAAGTTTTTGTTTTAGCACTTAAAATGCACACTAGTGCACGCTACAAAGCGTTCTACAAAATGCTTTTAAGAAGTCAGTGCTCTCGGCAGCTCTTCTGGGTAGGTAAATGTGCCCTAGTGCTCCTGTTTTGGTGGCAAAACTGCAGAGTGGTTTGGTGAAAGAACTGGCCTCCCAGGGGTGCTGAGCACAGGCAGTTCCCTTTAGGGTCCCCTGCAACCCTGGGTGCTCCGTGTCCAAGTGAAAATGAAGCAAGAAAAATCAGAGACCCGCTGATTTTGCACAGTCTGATCCTCTGCAGTCTGTGCGTAGGAACGCACTCTGTACTGTCACTACAAGAAAAATAAGTAAACATGGAAATAATTTGCTTTAAATCCTTCCATTTCTGCCATATCTCCCAGGGATAACTGAGTTGGAAAATGAAGATTTAAAAAAATACTAGTATTGACTCAGTGTCCCATTTCACTGAAGAATTTCTGGTCTGACAGTGGCTTCTAGGGCTTTTGTGCAGAATGCTGAACTCCTTGAGATAAAAGGTTGTATGGAGAGGTGATATTAAAAGATATATTCCTTGTGAATATGCATTATATTTCTTGTGAATCCTTGATTCACCTTTCTTATTCTAGGCTTCTCCAATGTCTACCTGGAGGTGTTTCTCCTGCTCTATTGACTTTGTAACTGGTTAAATTGCAGATCTTTTACTTAGTATCATAGAGAGAGAGAGGAAAAAAAAGTGTTCTTTCAAGCCCAGGTTTATCATGACTTTGTATTCTTTGTTAACGCTTTCAGGGTTGCAGTTTTATTAGTCACATCCTTAGTACTTTTTCCTGTCATTCTGGATATGCTAAACTGTTACTTGTACAACAAAAAATCTTTGTTACGTTCAAAGTTTGGTTTGCTAAGGTGTTGAAAAATTAAATGTACTTGATCAGGGTAGGCATAATTTAAACTTGTGCATGAGAGCCTTGTTTCATCCATTTCTTGCATGCTTTCCTGTATTTAAAAAAGACCATTTGGTGACAGTTTCTTGGCCTAGAGATGAAAAGTGCTGCCTTTCCAGGTTTGATATGCTGACAGAAAATCGTCTCCACAATGTATAGCACTGCTATGATTACTTCTAGCTATTATCATGGGTCTCATTTTACAGCCATTCCCATTATATAATTTGATGTTCATTCAGTTTAATGAGGAGGTGCTGCAGACTTATTTATGACTCAGGTCAACCTGTACGGTTTGGCCAAAGTGCAATTTTGCAATTTTAGCCATGTTGTCCATTGCAAAAGGAGGAAAAGATTTTTTTTTTTTTTTTTTTTTTTT